AATGAAAATTGACTTAAAGAGACAGAAAAGCAACTGTTTATGATAGCAGTGAAACTGCTAACTGAGCAAATGACAGATCCTTAAAATGTAGTGTAGTTTAAGGAATATTATGGGGTTTTTTTTCCTAATATGACACGCATCGAGCATCTACGGCATGCTGTTCATTACCTCAAATGTAGTTTAGACTACTTTTAACCAAGAATATTACCCTCTATCTACCCAAAGGTAAGGAATGACATAGTCACATTTTGTCATTTGACGTGTGCAGGAAATGTATAGGGAATATACTGCATAACATTTACATAATAGACATGCTTATAGACATATTAAGAATATCTGTTAAGTATAGGTTGGAAGAAAGGTTTAAAAAAGGGGGGATTCATGGAACCTGTAGAGTAAGAATAATTGTACATGCTGGGCCAGACTCCACAGATGAGGAACATATTAGTCACTAGAAAAATAATGGCTGAGTGTTTCCGAGCTGATCAGCAGCATCTGTCTAAGATTAAGTGGTGGTGACCATTTTTATCTTCAATTGTTGTAAAAGTTTTAACAAAACTTAATGATTTCTAACACACATTTCTTACCTTAAAAATACTAGGATTTTATGTTGTATCACTGTGAATGTTCTATAATCCTAGAGCTGAAAGAAACACAGTCATCAACTCTTCAACAAATAAATAATGCAACTTCCCCTGAACTCTGTTGAACCTCATAAAGGCATAAACTCCCTGTGATTGTAATCAAGGTATTGCATAACATGTGTCAATTATGCAAAACCGCTGATGTTTATCTACAGATCAAGTATAATAATAGGAACATTGTATAATCCTGGAGAGAAGTTTCGTCGTCTTGACTGTCGTAACTGAACGCCACGTGCAGTTTGAACGCTGAATGGAGGAAGACAGACAGCCGCAGCAGAGAGAAGAGTTTACGTGAACTTGAATTTAACAACTTAAATATTCATCTGTACCTCACATTAAACTATGGAACGGTCTCAGAACACTTGAAATATAGTGCACGGAAACGTTATTGTGCTTTATAATGTTTTTGTGCCTTTCGTGGGGCTTAACAATAACACAGAATAGTATACACACTATATCGGATTTGGATCGGTCTCGTCTGACCGATACCCGATCCAGCAGAAAATGCCAGTATTGAAGCGATACCGATCCTGAATATCGGATTGGCGCACCCCTACCGCCAAGACCAAATACATTAACACTGTCATGTACATCACCATGCCAAACCATCCAAGAGTGGTTAAGATAGAAATATGATTATTTCCAAACAGGGAGAACATCTTGTTTATTCACAATAAAATTAGGTTGTAGAAAAATATTCACAGATTTGACCAGCCAGTCCTCTTAGTCTTGCTGTAAACAAGTCATGTAATGCCATGATTTACAGGATGTTCACAGGGTCACTGGATATTTGAGGCACATACATATTTGCAGCTTTTTTGGATGGGTTCAGAAAAGTACATTGTATCTTTGATCAGGTTTTTGGTCTAAAACAAATGGACAAGATAATTTGATCAATGCATCTGATGAAGTGGATCAGCGTATTACTACACATACTGTAAAAATATTACACTTTTTATGACAACAGTTATTCCATACCACTACCTGGAAAATGTAATGTTCATGTATTCCCCCAAGACTTGTCTGCCTGTTCTTTTGAAGTCTAAACTCTCCTCCACCATTTCTCCACCACACTTACACATTACATCATTTTTCCCATTTTAACCCGAGGAAGGCCACAGTGGGCTGCCTATGAACATTCCCAGATGACTTGAATATGGCCGGCATTATGGTAAACCTCGCTGTGATTTAACTGCCTTAATGTGGAGCCTGTGCAGGCTATCAGTTGATGGAAAAGCTGACTCTGGCTTTCTCTCCAGGTTTCTCAGCTGGAGACCAAATAGAAGCTGATATAAGACGTCTAGACTTCCCCCTAGCCCCTGCTTGACTCATATATTCCAGATAATACTTTGAAATGAAATTCAGACACAAAAGGTATCTTTTTAAAAACTGCATGTGTAAGTATATTCAGATATTTTCTTGCTGCAAATTAGAGTGGTGATGAATGCTCAGATGGGCATTCATTAAGGTTTCCATTTGGCTTTGACTAAGAATTACAATCAGACTTTCTGAAATCTTATTTGTCACATCTTCTAGAGTCTGTGGCTGGAATTACAATTCTCTTTGTTTATAAGAGAGCGACTATTATAAAATATTTCTCTGCATGCTTAATGCATTCTTTCAAGATGACACTGCCGGCTCTGAGCAGCTTGTGCATGGAAAGAGACAGAGGATGGGGACAAATCCTGTTATTATTCTAACTGGACACAGAAATGATTTTAGACAAAGCCAAGTAGCATAAATCTGGGTAGCATAAAAAACGTGCCAAAAAGGCGTTGGAACATTCCATTTTATGCCTAGCAACCAAGCTACTTAGCTCTGGGTGAGAAAATAAATGGAAAAGAATGCACTGAGCAATTGGAAAAGTGATCAAAGGAAAAAAGCAACAATAGTTTCAGAGGCGTCCCACACCTAGTTTCCTCTGCCTGGAAAACGATTTCTTGGGGGGCCCGCAGAAAAAACCTGCACCTGGGCCCAGATAGAAAACTTGACTGCCAATAAGACCCAATTATGAATTATGAACCAAATTAAAAACACACATTATTAACACATTTGTTGTTGCTATTCCAGAATATTATGACTTTTAGGCCTATAAGTTCTGCATCGATTCAGTCCTCCATGTATTCTTTAGCTTACAGAAACAAATTAATTTAAACCTTCAGGACTGAACACTGCAAGGTTAAACTACACCTTATTTCAGCATTTAACAGTGCATTTGTGAATCAGAGAAGATATCCTAGCATGCGGTTCAGCTGCAAAATCATTTTCACAAAAGGGTGACACTTCTCATTCAATGCTAAAACTGGTTGTGTTGTGTTGACAAAGTATTTTGTAAATTTTTGCACAGATTATCCTAACCACACACACACATCACTAAGTGACATATTTTGGCCTCAAAACAAGTGAAATTCACCAAAAGGCTTTGGGGCACTATTCATTTTGTACCTACAATAATCGTGTAACATAATTGTAAAAATATTTGTGTCTTTGCTGTAAACAAGTCATGTAATGCCATGATTTACAGGATGTTCACAGGGTCACTGGATATTTGAGGCACATACATATTTGCAGCTTTTTTGGATGGGTTCAGAAAAGTACATTGTATCTTTGATCAGGTTTTTGGTCTAAAACAAATGGACAAGATAATTTGATCAATGCATCTGATGAAGTGGATCAGCGTATTACTACACATACTGTAAAAATATTACACTTTTTATGACAACAGTTATTCCATACCACTACCTGGAAAATGTAATGTTCATGTATTCCCCCAAGACTTGTCTGCCTGTTCTTTTGAAGTCTAAACTCTCCTCCACCATTTCTCCACCACACTTACACATTACATCATTTTTCCCATTTTAACCCGAGGAAGGCCACAGTGGGCTGCCTATGAACATTCCCAGATGACTTGAATATGGCCGGCATTATGGTAAACCTCGCTGTGATTTAACTGCCTTAATGTGGAGCCTGTGCAGGCTATCAGTTGATGGAAAAGCTGACTCTGGCTTTCTCTCCAGGTTTCTCAGCTGGAGACCAAATAGAAGCTGATATAAGACGTCTAGACTTCCCCCTAGCCCCTGCTTGACTCATATATTCCAGATAATACTTTGAAATGAAATTCAGACACAAAAGGTATCTTTTTAAAAACTGCATGTGTAAGTATATTCAGATATTTTCTTGCTGCAAATTAGAGTGGTGATGAATGCTCAGATGGGCATTCATTAAGGTTTCCATTTGGCTTTGACTAAGAATTACAATCAGACTTTCTGAAATCTTATTTGTCACATCTTCTAGAGTCTGTGGCTGGAATTACAATTCTCTTTGTTTATAAGAGAGCGACTATTATAAAATATTTCTCTGCATGCTTAATGCATTCTTTCAAGATGACACTGCCGGCTCTGAGCAGCTTGTGCATGGAAAGAGACAGAGGATGGGGACAAATCCTGTTATTATTCTAACTGGACACAGAAATGATTTTAGACAAAGCCAAGTAGCATAAATCTGGGTAGCATAAAAAACGTGCCAAAAAGGCGTTGGAACATTCCATTTTATGCCTAGCAACCAAGCTACTTAGCTCTGGGTGAGAAAATAAATGGAAAAGAATGCACTGAGCAATTGGAAAAGTGATCAAAGGAAAAAAGCAACAATAGTTTCAGAGGCGTCCCACACCTAGTTTCCTCTGCCTGGAAAACGATTTCTTGGGGGGCCCGCAGAAAAAACCTGCACCTGGGCCCAGATAGAAAACTTGACTGCCAATAAGACCCAATTATGAATTATGAACCAAATTAAAAACACACATTATTAACACATTTGTTGTTGCTATTCCAGAATATTATGACTTTTAGGCCTATAAGTTCTGCATCGATTCAGTCCTCCATGTATTCTTTAGCTTACAGAAACAAATTAATTTAAACCTTCAGGACTGAACACTGCAAGGTTAAACTACACCTTATTTCAGCATTTTACAGTGCATTTGTGAATCAGAGAAGATATCCTAGCATGCGGTTCAGCTGCAAAATCATTTTCACAAAAAGGTGACACTTCTCATTCAATGCTAAAACTGGTTGTGTTGTGTTGACAAAGTATTTTGTAAATTTTTGCACAGATTCTCCTAACCACACACACACATCACTAAGTGACATATTTTGGCCTCAAAACAAGTGAAATTCACCAAAAGGCTTTGGGGCACATTTCATTTTGTACCTACAATAATCGTGTAACATAATTGTAAAAATATTTGTGTCTTTTGGAAGTTGCATTCAAAATCCATTTGCCTTAAAAAATGAAATGGGCATGACGCCTCTGAATAGTTTTAGACAATAACAGAAGAAACACATCTGTACTGAATTCACTTACGTTGATGTTGTTGGTAAGGGTGTTAACAAACTTGAATCCTGGGATTCTCTTGTCGCTGCAAACCACCCCGACATCCTCAGTATGCTTACAATCAGACACGCCTATGCCATTAGACTCACACTGGGCCAAGCTCTTCTCATTTCCCGTGCAGTGGACGTTGTCAAACCAGATACGGCCTAAACACACAGGAAGTCAGTGCATATAAATTCTCATTGCTGACATTCACTGTTTTGCTAATGCTTTCATAATTATTATGCATGCAGCTTTTATGACCTAAGAGTCTACATGAGATGTTTGTTCATTTAAAAATTCATTTGTCACAACACTGGTTCATTTAAAACTATTTAATGAAGTCAAAAAGGTGTCCATGGACATGTTGTACTAACCTGTACTATCAAAAAAATAGTTCACCCAAAAATGAAATTTTGTTAAAATGTACTCACTGTCAGACCTTCCAAAATGTAGAGGAGTTTGTTTCTTCATTGCAACAGATTTGAATAAATTCAGTATTATGTTACATGCTCACCAATGGATCCTCTGCAGTGAATAGGTGCCATCAAAATACAACTGCAAACATCTGACAGAAACATCACAATAATTCAGCTAGTTTTACTCTTGTTCTGATGGCACCCATTCACTTTGTTGGTGAGCAAGACATGTAAAGCAAAATGTTTACAAATCTTTTCTGAAGAAACAAACTTATCCACATCTTACATGGCTTGAGGGTGAGTACATTTTGGTGAACTAGCCTATTTCTTTAACTGCAAGTCATTTTAATTGCGGAAAAAAGGCATCAGTTTCACATTATATCATTCTGAACACTAGCTTACCTTCTCCCTTCCCATATTTAGATGATGGAGACCAGGAGACTGCTTCAGAATAGCCCAGTTCTCTGCATACAACTTGGGCTGCATGAATGGTGAAATCATCATCACACACAGTCCCCCACTCCTCTTCATAGAAGACCTCAACGCGCCCTTCGTTGTGCTTGCGTTTCTCTCCTGCCAGGCGTAGCTGTATCCTGGGTATATCTTGTCACAACACTGGTTCATTTAAAACTATTTAATGAAGTCAAAAAGGTGTCCATGGACATGTTGTACTAACCTGTACTATCAAAAAAATAGTTCACCCAAAAATGAAATTTTGTTAAAATGTACTCACTGTCAGACCTTCCAAAATGTAGAGGAGTTTGTTTCTTCATTGCAACAGATTTGAATAAATTCAGTATTATGTTACATGCTCACCAATGGATCCTCTGCAGTGAATAGGTGCCATCAAAATACAACTGCAAACATCTGACAGAAACATCACAATAATTCAGCTAGTTTTACTCTTGTTCTGATGGCACCCATTCACTTTGTTGGTGAGCAAGACATGTAAAGCAAAATGTTTACAAATCTTTTCTGAAGAAACAAACTTATCCACATCTTACATGGCTTGAGGGTGAGTACATTTAGGTGAACTAGCCTATTTCTTTAACTGCAAGTCACATTATATCATTCTGAACACTAGCTTACCTTCTCCCTTCCCATATTTAGATGATGGAGACCAGGAGACTGCTTCAGAATAGCCCAGTTCTCTGCATACAACTTGGGCTGCATGAATGGTGAAATCATCATCACACACAGTCCCCCACTCCTCTTCATAGAAGACCTCAACGCGCCCTTCGTTGTGCTTGCGTTTCTCTCCTGCCAGGCGTAGCTGTATCCTGGGTATATCTTTAGGAAGCTCTGGAGCAGTATAAAGGTCCTGTACAGGTTCTGGGTAGCCCAGGAGGTAACCCATGTGCTCATACTGTGCATAACTGAATCTCCATACGCACAATAGTACAAATGACACAGACCAGAGGGCCAGCATAATGATAGGCTCAGAAGGTTTTTATGGCCTGCAAAAAAAGAAGAAGTGAAAGTGAAGCAATGGAAGTAGTTTCTATTGTTATTATTATTTAAAAGGCAGCACAGAAAGACATTATTGATGCTAAACAGACATAATTAATGCGTTTTAAGATTTCCAGCTAGTCATTTATCTGTACTTTTTTAATCAAAAGCACTTTTATCAAAGTCATGAGCTCAAGGGGAATAGCATGGGATCATAATTATTTAGGATTCTACACTAGTTTTACATCTTAAATCAAATAAGCAAATTTGTGACATTGTGAAGTCTTTTGTACAAAAGGCCATTTTCAAATATATACATGGCTCATCAGGTTTTGCACGAACATGTGCAATGCTGTTTTTCCAGTTCAGTTACCTCTAATTCTAATGCTGATAATATAATTTGACTATAAATATTATTAATAAATTATTACATTTAAAAAGCTAAATACATGCTAGGGTTCTCAAATATTTGAACCCCACTGTGCTGGAAAAAATATTAATATAGTGAATCTTCAAGACATTTTGGTTCTACAGTACCCACTGGCATGTAAGCATCTGTCTTAAAAGCCAAAAAAAAAGTAACATGCTTCCAAGGGTTCCCTTAAGATTGCCACTCCAAGATAAAAGAGGCACTTCTACAAAAGCACTTTTTAAGACTTCCGCTCACTTTCTCAAACATACTCAAAGGTTATTGCCTAAAAATACATCAAAATGGTGTAGCCTGTAACATAAACTAAAACTAAATGCGTAAACTAAATTACACAAGCATAAATAAATCTTTCAAAATATTTTCAGGGTCTCAGGATTGTCCAAATGCATGTGGCAAAGAGACATGATGGACCCCAGAAGTCCCAATGAATTAGCCTTCTCTACAGCAGCCTATGTGGAGGTTCTTTTAAAAATGTGGTTGGTCTAAAGTGAATTTACGTAAAGCCCATCACACAGACAAAGGGGCATGTTCAGAAGTGTATTTGGTATAGGTTTTGTTCGCCAGGACAAGACCTATAGCTCTGAGCCATCTACAGCTTTGGAACTGCCTCACATTCCTGTCCTAAATACCTGGTTCTTGTCTTGTTCTATTTTGCACTTCCAGACAGCAAGTCCCGAGACCACCATAAATAGGATTCTGACAGGATAAAAGGGTTCACATGTCAAGGGGTCACAGTCCTGTGTAATACTACCTAAACACAATAACCCAGTGTTCTACCTGAACCAAAAGCAAAGGCGCATACCCACTTTTGTAGAGGCTGTAATGTTTATTAATAATGAATAACGTGAACAGGTTGTTAAAAACATTTGAGTGTAAAAATCCTATCCCACTGACTCAAGCATGACGTCATACATAACCATTAGCATTGTTTTTCTCTTTTCTATCTTACAAGGAAACGTGCTGTATGTCAGGCAACGCATTTCAAGCGAAATATTCAGTACAACTACGATTATTTTCTTTGAAATAAGCAAAAATGCGATTATACAATAAAGCAAAGCAGAGGCAGTGGTTAGCTTACGTTTGCTGCGAGTGCAAGTTTCACAGTTGAACAGTCCTCCGAATGTGAATCTCTGCTTCTCTCAGCTGTTGCACATCCCCTAAACTTTCACTGGTTGATCTCCTACAATTTCAGGAAAGTCGAAGCAAAGTTACGCCTTGTTGAACTGCCCCCTCACGCCCACCACTGTGGGCTGGTGACCTCATGGACCTCCACATAACTGCAATTTTTGAGGAAACAGACATTATGTACGTGCCTAAAAAAAAGTCTGTTGTTTTAAATCAAAAATAATAATTGTGATGGATTAAATCATTTCCTGGCCCGACAAGAGCACTTCGGGTTACTGTGGAGAGTTTTCTGGAGGAAGGGTGGCAAACTATTTGACTAATACTTCTGTAGGTTGATGTTGTTGCTTGTTTGTTAAAAATACATACACACAAGTTTTAGAGTATACAAACAATTTGGGTTGGGACGAATGTATTCCAGTAGTTAGTTAACCTCATAGTTATGCTCAATTCTTGAACAAAGCCTTTTTAATGCGATCTTCGATCGCTGAACCGGTACCGGTTCACAAAACCGGACTGAATGATTCATTCTGGATTCATGGTTAAATTCGGCATAGCATACTACTATCCATTCATTCATTAGCTCTAATATTTCTGCCATATAAAAATAATGCAGCAGAAGAGAGTATGGAATTTTGCCGTTTTAGCTCACACATACTAAACATATTTCGGCAAAGAAATTTGGGCTAAATAAATTGTGTAGCCTACGATTGTTTATTGCCAATGCAATATAATTATTTGAGATTCTATGAACTGAATCATGGCTGTAAACTGATCTGAATAAATAAAAGTTGATCAGGGAGCACGCGATGACGTAATTACGCATTGGCGTAAAATAATAAATAGCTTTTTTGAACTGGTTCTTTGAAACGAACAGTTCAAAATAATCGTTTCGCCGAAATGAGCCAGACCTCTCATCACTAGAACAGCTGTCTGTTCTCTTGTGGGATATTAATGTATGAATACTGCCATCTTGTGGATAACGATCCACTTAGGCCGGGGAACAAAACTGTAAATTAATTAATCCATAAACGCTAATTAGACTTCACTGGTCTGATAGCAGATGTGTCCGGAGAAACACGATTTTCCACTTGCCTTATTTGTTTAATAATAAATATTAGAATGGTTTCTAAAAGGCCTGATGATTGAAAACAAAATATATCAAAAATAAATAAATAACACATATCCCATAATATACATGACAGCAGTCACAGTCTCCCACTCTCCTGTATTTTCTTAGGCTCCTCCCCCTAGTCCTACTTCCAAGATCATTAGTCTCACCCTCTGCACTGTATCCTCACGCACTTCTCTGGTTGAAGGAAGGAGGGAAGGTTATTTCAGAAATGTTCAATTACAGGCAACTCTCTCATTAATGGATGAATTCCTGAAGTCTTCGGATATTAAACTCTCTGCAAATGTACCCCGAAGAACGGATGCTTGATCAAAAGCCTTCATTTTTCAGGTTGCAGCCAGGGTAATAGGGACATCCCGGAAGATGGTAAACCAGACTGAAGGTTATGTCTCAGAGCTAATAACTCGCTCCACGACTGCTTGTCTGCTTTTCGTTTTTGTGCTCTCCACCTTTCTTGGGAATGCTCTGGTGTGCACCGCAGTGGTACGGTTCCGTCATCTGCGCTCCAAAGTGGCGTATGTGTTTGTAGTGTCTTTGGCAGTCTCAGATCTCTTAGTTGCCTCTCTTGTAATGCCATGGAAGGCAGTCGCAGAGATTGTGGGTTTCTGGCCGTTCGGCAGTTTCTGTGAAGTATGGATAGCCTTTGACATAATGTGCTCCACCGCCTCCATTCTTAACCTGTGCATCATAAGTGTGGATCGTTACTGGGCTATTGCTATCCCACTGAGCTACGAGCAGAAAATGACAAGAAGAGTGGCATTTGTCATGATTGGAGTGGCATGGGCACTCTCTGTTCTGATCTCATTCATTCCTGTGCAGCTGAGTTGGCATAAGAGTCTCCGCCATAAAGAAGACCTGGGAGAAATGGCTGAGAAATGCGATGCCAGTTTAAACCGCACTTATGCCATCACTTCATCTCTAATCAGCTTCTACATCCCTGTCTCCATAATGATTGTCACTTACACTCGCATCTTCCTCATAGTGCAAAAGCAGATCCGAAGGATATCAATGCAAGAGTGCACCATTAAGCATGTTCAGTCCTGCCAGAGCTGCAGTAAAGTGCCTGAAGAGAAGTTAAAAAGTTCATTTAAGAGGGAAACCAGAGTCCTGAAAACCCTGTCGATGATCATGGGTGTGTTCGTCTGCTGCTGGCTCCCTTTCTTCATTCTCAACTGCATGGTGCCGTTTTGTGACCCTGACCTCCACAACGCCGGGAAGATCCCATGTGTCAATAAGACGACTTTCGATGTGTTTGTGTGGTGTGGGTGGGCGAACTCTACCTTGAATCCTGTAGTTTATGCATTTAATGCAGAATTCCGCAAAGCGTTCTCCGGCCTCTTGGGATGTGGGAAGCTGTGCTCTCGGAATACAGTTCAAACGGTTGACTTCAGTAATGAGCTGGTGTCTTATCATCGTGACTCCACAAACCTTCGAGATGCTCACCTCTTCGGTCACCCCTGTCTGCATCCACACGCTGTCAGGGAGGAAAGTGATAAAGACGTGTGCTTTGATACAGTGTCACAGATGGATGAAGTCCCTTATGAGGCTGAATGCAACTTTGTATATGGGGAAAGGCCTCCTATGCTAAGTCATGGAGAAACAGAACTATCATTGGATAAAATCCTACCATTTACAATAGAAGATGAGTTAGCGTCTCTTGAACGTGTGGCTCATAATGAAAGCAAATCTCCTAGTATCTCTGGAATATTGTAATCTGTAAATATGCGGTGTGTTTTGAAAACAATTATACTTTTATGTATTAAACAAACTGAGTAAGACTATGAGTAATTGAACTGGCATAGACAACTGTTTATGAGTGCTGTTTCTACACTACTCTGCTCATGAATCATTCAAAAGGTCACTCACTGTGAGGCAGAGATTCCATAAAGAGCTTTACGTATAAAGCTCATGATGCAGTATCAAGTTATTTCTACATGAATAATGTGCAGTCTTTTTCAGTTAAATGTGTTAATGGAGGAAACAATAATAATCATATGTCTGTCAGCTTGAAGATTTGACTGAAAATGAGTAACACCTGACTTTGAAATGTCCTCTATTCACTCCAGAAAGGGAAAATGCACTGACAGACTGACAGACTGCATGGCATATGAGCTCAAATGAAAATATGAGATCAAATGATTTCATCAGTCTGTCATAACAGTTACCTTTTGTCTGAAAAAGCTTCTGTTCATTGAATGGATTTGTTCACATTAAGTCTACTCTGTTGGAGGTTCGGAAATTATTAAAGATAATGTGATACTGAAAAGATGTTAATGTATAAAAGGATAGTTGACACAAAATACAAAAGGGAAGTTGTTGTCCTGCAATACTTTATCTTAAGCTTTTTTAAGCAGGATTATGATCATGTCTTTATTAGCTCATAATATCTGATGGACTACTTGGAATATTTGTACATTTGCCACTCCACATGACCATTTAAAGTGAATTAGTAAAGGCAAAAAAAATCTAAATTGTGAAAAACATAAATAAAAACTGAAATCATGTCAAATTTCCATATATATTAATATACATTTTAAGCTAAAACTTTGAAATTGATATATATATATGTATATATATATTCAAAAAGGTCAACCCAAAATATTAAATGACTTTTAATAAGAAAATAAAATTCTCCTTAATTTAAAAACATTAGAATGAACAATAATGTACATTCTCTGCAGATAAAGAAAACAAACGAGCACTCATCTTCTGATAGCATATTTGTTTTTATTGGGAGTTTTATACTAAAACTGGTTTTGGACAAAATATAGGTTTAAATGTTAAGAACAATAGTATACAAAAAAAATTTGATGGAATGTATATTGTCTGCTAAATGACTAAATGTAAATGATATATTGCCTTTGGTAGCAACATTCAACAAACCATTAACAATGAATAAATTAAATGTTTGTTCTGTATTGCTGTATTTACAGGAAAGTAGTATAATCCAATACAAAATATAAATATAACCTGAATCATCATAGTGATAAAACGCACTCATCCTGTTTAGTCACACACGATCAACTTTACACAAACTGTACTTATTTATGTTAATGTATGCACATTTTGGACACTTTCCAACAAGCGGACTCTTCTGTCTAATCTGTGAAGGATTGAAAATCTACACCAAGTAATCGGCTTTGTGCAACAGGTACAGAGGTAGAGACTGTCATGTGTTTATACAAACCGATCTTGATAATAAGTCTTTGACGGCAATATTTGTGCTGCTCGGTCGCGCTGGTGATATTTAAAAGCGGTAAGACTCCATACAAGACAGTTCAAAAAGTGTCACATCCCACCCAAAACCCATTTTCTCAGTCTGTCAAAAGGCATTAGCCTTCTTACATGCATTAGGAACATTTGCACTTCTGTGAAGATGGGGTGGCTCTTACAAGAGCCTTTGGTTTATGGAGTGAAGTCTGGCAGTTTACTTCTTCTTAGCGGCCGTCTTCTTCGCTTTGGCAGCCTTGGGCTTTGCGGCTTTAGGCTTCACTGGTTTAGGCTTCACTGCTTTGACCTTCTTAGGACTCTTCGCAACTTTCTTCACAGCCGGTTTCTTCACTTTCTTCGGGCTTTTGGCGGCTTTCTTGGGCGCAGCCGCTTTCTTCACTTTCTTGGGAGACTTCTTCGGGGCGGGTTTCTTTACTGCTGCCTTCTTGGGCTTCGCCGCCTTGGCCGCCGCCTTCTTCACGGCTGGTTTCTTCGGTTTCGCCACAACTTTCTTGACGGGCTTCTTGGCGGCTGGTTTCTTGCTCACCTTGAAAGATCCGGACGCCCCGGTGCCTTTAGTTTGAACAAGTGCCCCCTTTTTCACCAGAGATTTCAAAGCAATCTTGACGCGAGAGTTGTTTTTCTCAACGTCATATCCACCACCTGCCAAAGCCTTCTTCAGAGCCGCCAGGGAAACTCCTTTGCGCTCGTTGGAAGCGGCGACCGCCTTCACGATAAGGTCGGACACGCTTAGTCCAGGCTTTTTCGCCTTTGCCGCCTTCTTCTTCGGGGCTTTGGCCGGAGCAGCCGCGGGAGCAGGAGCAGTTTCTGCCATAGTTTCAGTCAACTTGGAGCCGATGTCAGGTAGTACAGAGCTGTCAAACAAACAATGTTTACATCCAACAGCTGAGGGCGGGATTTAAGCGGGAGATGAGAACCATATAGACTCAACCGCCTCAACCGACGCTCTCAACAGGACAGAGTCGTGCGTAGATGTGTTTTCTGATCTGGAAAAACACAAGGTTTTCCGCGATAAAGAGCGATGGATTGTAGACTTTAAACCACGTACCGATAGCTGAGTCTTTCCTCTTTGTGGGCAGCTTGTGTTTTGTGCAAAACATCGCTTGGTTTAAAAGGTTTACTGACATTTCTCACAAATTAATTCATGAACAATCAGATCATAGTTTGTTACTAGAACAAGTACTAATTCATGTAATACTGACATAGTTATTACATGACCATAAACGGCTTGCTTTTTTTGTTTTGCTCTATTTTAATATTTGAGCAGTGATCTAATTAAAACACGAGTTAATGTGTTGTGGGAAGCATGCTGTATAAAATAAAATAATGCATTGAGACACATGAATTTGCCCTTTTCATTGAATGTTTGGGCGGCTCTTAAAAGAGCCTTTTTTTTGTTTGAAAATCCAGGTGAAATTTAACCGCCAAAACCATACAGCGTACGGCCTTGGCGCTTCAGAGCGTACACTACGTCCATAGCAGTCACAGTCTTGCGCTTGGCGTGCTCGGTGTAGGTCACGGCGTCGCGAATGACATTTTCAAGAAACACTTTTAGTACACCTCGCGTCTCTTCATTAGGGATGGGCATATCGATCCTAAGTATCGATATATCGATACTGACGCCTAGTATGGTTGTTTGTGACTTTACAGTTTTGCTGAATACTTCAATTACATAACTTTTGCGACCTTATTCAGTGCGGATTTGCACTTTTGTGTTTTAGTGCGTAAATTTCAAACAATCAAAAGAGAATAACTGACTTGACTTGTAGAGCGAAGATATGTAAATTTCATACACCTCAGCCGAGTGTTTTGATTGGTGAGAGACAGCCTCGATTTCTATTGGTTATTCGCTGATGACGACGCGTGGTGATTTGTCCCTGGTTTGAATGCCCTTCCCAGCCAGTTTGAACCGGTTTATCGAACAAAGGGGCAGTACCTTCGTCTGACTTCATTCACAGAGGCTAACAGCTTGTTTAATGAAGTGATTTTAATCATTTATTATAGAAGTCTTCTCAAATAATAAATAAGCACAAACCACTGACAATCAAGCAGTGATTTTACATCCGATAATTTGCCTTATGCTTTACAACAACAACAGCAGCACAATCAAATCAAACATATAATAAAGAGAAAATCTGCAGCGCTCTGTATAATTAGGAATAGGAAGACGAACGGTTGTCACATCAGGGGACTTTGATTCCACAAGCCCCTTACCGCCTTTTCCTCGACCAGACATGACAGCAAAGACAAAAGTCAAAGAACGCGAATGGAATCGAAATGGGAGGGCTTTTGGGGAAGTCTGACGTCTATATCCTTCAAGCGGACCTAGTGGAAACCATGCCTGCCACAACCCCACTGCGGGTGGGGCTGATGTAACAATGCAGAACAAGTATGAAATAGGTCCGTTGACCGTCATTTTTTAATATTTAAATCACAGATCATGGATTCGAATAAAAGCTAGAACAAATATTAGTATTTCAGTAATTAGGAGTGACCTGCTTATGTTCTAGTATGGTTGTTTGTGACTTTACAGTTTTGCTGAATACTTCAATTACATAACTTTTGGGACCTTATTCAGTGCGGATTTGCACTTTTGTGTTTTAGTGCGTAAATTTCAAACAATCAAAAGAGAATAACTGACTTGACTTGTAGAGCGAAGATATGTAAATTTCATACACCTCAGCCGAGTGTTTTGATTGGTGAGAGACAGCCTCGATTTCTATTGGTTATTCGCTGATGACGACGCGTGGTGATTTGTCCCTGGTTTGAATGCCCTTCCCAGCCAGTTTGAACCGGTTTATCGAACAAAGGGGCAGTACCTTCATCTGACTTCATTCACAGAGGCTAACAGCTTGTTTAATGAAGTGATTTTAATCATTTATTATAGAAGTCTTCTCAAATAATAAATAAGCACAAACCACTGACAATCAAGCAGTGATTTTACATCCGATAATTTGCCTTATGCTTTACAACAACAACAACAACAGCAGCACAATCAAATCAAACATATAATAAAGAGAAAATCTGCAGCGCTCTGTATAATTAGGAATAGGAAGACGAACGGTTGTCACATCAGGGGACTTTGATTCCATTGAAGAGTGCAACTCAGTCAGAATGCAGATAATATTTAGCTTTCAGTCATTTCAGCTTTGGCACATCAGCTTCCATCATACCCCAGTGGCTGAAAATGAGAGCAAAGGAATATCAAACCAATCCTTTCAGAAGAAAACATCACTCTTTGCATACTTTCTTGACTACCAATTTATGAAAATAGTGAGGTTTGTACTAAAACAAGATCATTAGCATTACTTTGTCACAATATTAAGCACACCAAACTCAAAGAACAAAGACATCATGAAATCCTTTGTCTTTTACCTGGTAAACACCCTCTTCATAGCCTGGCGCAGGACGCTGCCATATCTGATTGGATAAGATTTTCAAAACAACCAATCCAAAGGCTACAATGATGACTCCCAATGCATTTGCAGTTATTGCCTCTGGTGGTAATGCGGAATAAGGCAGCGTCCCATTGGTGTTTCCTTTTCTGAGGAGAGAACCAATGGAACAACGCATTTGTTGTGACATTACACTAAATCTATTTTGAGTTCTACATTTATGAGTATGTGTTTTTTAACCCTCTTCTTTCTACCTCATACATCAAAACTTAAAACATATTGATTAGAGCATAATGATCAGATCTACAGCACTGAACGCTCCATGAAGATTAATAGCCATATATAATGAAGTTAAATATAAGTTCTTCACTGCAATAGCTAATGCGTACCACTCAGTTTATGTAGTGTGATCACTTACAGTGCAAAAAAGAGTTTTTCGTTGATCCCTGAGATGCAGGAAACAATGCCTAGTACCAAGATGATTCCTCCCATCCAAACATGAGCTGGCTTTACAAGAGCACGAGCCGTCGTTGGAGTACAGGGTAAGAGAAACGCAGTAAAACCCATGACCCACTAGAAAAGAATCAGAAAAAACTGAGAATTTGATTCATTCTTGCATCACTGCTGTCATCCATCTACATATGAGCTATGTGAAACTACATTCTCAGTATCCAAAATGTTTGAAGGAACAGTTTCTTGCAAATATTTGGGATACAAACAATGTAGTTTAATATATTCATATGTTGATGGTTCATTGTTTATCCACTATTGCATTTCTTATTTACAGAAACAACTGTACATGAACAATTTTCAACATGATACTCACCTGTGCAGTAAAAAGCGCAGTGGTACAAATCCCCACCCAGCTGTGGAGGGAATAGAGGTTGGCTGTGTGGTTTGCATTGTGGTAGTCGAACACCGCACAAAGCCCGATAACAGACAGAACGAAAGAAAGGAGCAGAAGCCCAGCATGTAACAACTTCCATGGGAGCTTATTGTGACCCCACGTCAGAGGAATACGGTACACTACGGCCGCTGGTTAATAGAGGAAAAAAGACACTGAGGCCAACTGTCATGTAAAAGTATGTGAAACGGACAAAAAATACGCTAAATATCATAATATTTCAATGTAACATGCCAAACTTAAATCTAACAATAAAACAACCAAACACTTTTTACAACATATTTGCTTTGCAATTCTGTGTTATCATATTACAGCTACAGTAGCCAGTGTTGCTGCTTTCAGTTGAAAGTAGCTAAAACTGGTAGCTAAATGTCACTAGATGACATCACAATGGCAAATTCACTGATTTATATAAAGATGAACGTAGATCAGCAGGCAAGATGAGAACTTAGATGAGGTCTGTCCAAGAAGTTGCTATATTTGTCCCTAAACTTTTGAAAAAAGTCTCAGAAGGGATGGGGAAGTCGCTAAATCTAGCTACAAAGTAGCTAAATTGGCAACACTGACAATAGCATGAAATACAAGCCATGATAATACTGAAATCAAACATACCATTCCCATAAAGCACCACCATGCCAGTGACCATGAAGACTGGGTGCCAGTTGAACTGCTTGACTGAGCCGTCCCATGCAAATCCACCTCTATAGCTGTAATTCCAGTGAGCTACTAATGCCACACAGGTGATCCCCAACATCAGGCACAGCACATAGGTTAGGTAAAATTGAAGAATTCCTCTCATCCTGTGAGTGCTACAGAAACAATGCACATGTCATTTAGCTTGAGAAATTAACTTTACCTGACACATGTTTTAATTACAGAGGTGTTTACAAAGACATTAATAGCCATTCTCTAATATTGAACTTACCTTATAAAATGTCTCCAAATCAAATAGTCTAGTGATTTTCAACTTGAATTTGAAACAGAACAGGACCGTTTTTAGAAGAGCAGCACATCTGAATGTACAGTACCTTTATCTGATGTCTTACAAATTTCAAACAGCCTCGTGACAGCGGTTTTTGTTGATCTCAGTTCCTCTTTCCATGATTCCCCATCATGATTTTCGATTTCATCTGCCAGCAGACCAGATGGCAAACAAATAGCAGAAATGAGGAACAGCAAAAAGGGACTAGCAATCATAAGGATGAACTGGACATTATGTCACTCACTCAACACTACAAATACCGTACAAACAGAGAACTCAATAAATAGAGAACTGTTCAAATTCATTCCATGACGCAAGGAAACAATGTAACCAAAATGATGTTCTAAAAATAAGACCCATAGGTTTTAAGGCATACGCTTAGGGAGTGCTTGTTTATTTTTCAAGTTTTGTAGTTTTTCATTATTATTGTCGTTTGTATCTTTCTGTGACGTAATGCCAGTACGAGGACACTCAAAAACAGACGAAGTACCCGCGCAAACTACTTCAGTATTGCCTGTTAGAATAATAACATTGACTGTTAACACAAGATAATGTGATTTTACTTGATGTCATGCTAGAGACAAAACCAATGTATACAAACTTTAACGACGGACGAAGCTCGCGATGTTTTTGAGAAAAGCAGCCCTGCTTGCGACACGATAATTTCCTGTTTAACCGCAAGGCGGCATGGGAACTGTAGTGAACAGAACCTTGTGTTATTTGTTAGATTACATTTCGATTACTTTTCGACAAAACAACCCCAAAAAATTACGACATAAGTATAAAAAAAAGTGCTATTCTTTCCTCATGAGATCTGTCTTTAAACGGAAATTAAACTTTGCTGCGGGGTTTGCAGTGTTTCCCAAAACCATTACATTGGCTAGGTAAGACAAATGTCCCAAAATTATGACTTCTGTGTGTTATCTCAAGTTATGGATTTTGCACAATACATCACCACAGTGCACAAAAGCCCACATATTTGCATTCCAATGAACCAGCATAATGCAGAAAATGATCGAGTTTTAGAAGCGCCTTTCAACTATGGAGGGCGAAACCTGCAAAAACAATAAATACATAAATAAATAAATACATATGCAAATAAATAAATGTGTGTATAAATACACAAATTCTTGTTTAAATACATATATAAATAATTAAACGTGATTAAAGTAGGCAAATAAATAAAATAAATTGGTGGGCAAATAGGAAATGCTAAACTCATCCTATTTATTTTCCTTTGATCACTCATTTATTTCTGAATGTAGTTCCGCATTTATTTTTCCTCTGCACAACATGCTAATGAGAGGGTGTCAACCATGGACTTGGTCGGGTCTTGTGATAGCTGGGGGCGCGGCTTTCCCGCTGACAGAAAATGCATGGTGTAAATCCGGTATAGCCTAGTAAAGTCACTTTTGCCGTTCAACAGAGTAAGATACATAGAAAAACTGAGCCGTATTGTCCGTACAGTATCTGTGACTTTACAAACGACCCAACGGAATGGCCAGAGGTGTTATTTCCGAGCATTCGATATTCGTAAATCTAGGGACCATCTCTAAAGTTACATGCGACATTGGTATACACTTTTCTAACTTCTTGACTTCAATCCACCTTTTTCTTCAACGCGGAAGTAAGCCTATGGGTGAGACTTCCGGTTCATTAGCCGCTATAGGTAAATAACGAGGAGAATAACAACGTGCAGTAAACGGTAAAACTGTTTGCACTACAAACCAGTGTGTTCATAATTAAGATAATACATTAAAATAATATGATAAGACACACCAACTTTCAATATCAAGCAGCAAAACGAACTGTTTTGCTCAGCTAAAAATAGCTGGACGGAGTGGACGCAGATGAGACCGGAAGCCAGACCCATAGAATTTACAAATGGCCGCGCCCATTTTTACGACAAGAAAAAGGTGGATAGCATTTGAGGAAAATTACTTGCAGTAACACAACCAACTGTGAAGTGGTCATGTAGTTCTCGGTTATAATGCACACCTTTTAGACATGTATTTAAACAAGAATGTGTGTATTTATACAGACATTTATTTATTTATTTGTATATTTATTTATTTGTGTATTTATTTATTTATTGTTTTTGCAGGTTTCGCCCTCCATATTCAACCACTGCCAACATCCTTAAACAAACCACACAAAACCTGTATTTATTTTAACAGGAGTTAGGATTGTCATTTAGTATCATGTATTTTCTTCTGCATTGCTGTGGTTTGAAACTTTTCAGAGGATTCTATTTTCTGATCCGTTTCATCCACTCTATTCCCTATTTGTAAAGTTTGAGCTTGAACCCCCTATTTTCCAGGAGTTCAGGTGACCTCTGGTGGCGAGCAGGCTGAAATGCAGTTTTTAGATACTCATATTTTTAGGAAACACCCGTATGTGCGCTTTATATTTAGAACGTTAATGTAAAGTCAGAATCATTAAAGGAAAAACAAATATACAAATGAATTGCTTTTATTAGTTCACAAAATAATCATATGTAAACATCTTATTCAAGAACATTAAATGCATCACAATTTTGTATACAAAACGGGAAATAATGCATTTAAACATTTCATAATATTAGGAGTCTTAAATATCTTTTTTTTATTTTATGTAACTAACGTTTGTAAACAGCGGCATAGCATCTTATCTAAAAAATTTGCACACGATTGGCCAACATAGTAAATATTATGTCAGTGAAACACTTTCCATTTTGGAATTATTGGGAAATAATACTGCATGAGGTAAGCCATGTACAAAATAAAAATCAAAAGAATACCTTAGCCCACTGAGGACACTAAGGTGGTGACAATATTTGCATGCTTCCAGTCACTCATCTTCATATTCAAAGTAACCATTAATGATTGCCTTTGAAATGATATTTTCTGCTGACAGCCTTTGGTCTAAATAGATTAATGCTTCAATAAGACTGTTGAAATCTGCCTCCAGTCCCTCCTTTTCCATCCAGATTTTTAACAGTTCATAAACTCTGTCTTCCGGAAAGAGAGACTCTGCATTTTTGATTGAATTATCAGTCAGTCCAATGAACCTGAAAAATCTGTTATGATAGTGGACGTCCATTTCTTCAAAGAAATCAAAGCTTTTCTTCAACGATTCTTCTCCTGAAAAGGTGAGACAGAGTGAAAACACTGCAACTCATCAGCTTTACACTCTTAAAAATAAAGGTGCTTCACGATGCCATAGAAGAACCTTTTTGTCTAAATGGTTCCATAAAGTACCTTTAACATCTGAAGAACCTTTCTGTTTCACAAAAGGTTCTTTGGGGTGAAAGAAGGTTCTTCAGATTACAAAAAGGTAAGAAAGATATGGTTCTTTAAAGAACCTTTGACTGAATGGTTCTTTGTGGAACCAAAAATGGTTCTTCTATGGCATCGCTTGAAGAACCTTTTGAAGCACCTTTATTTTTAAGAGTGTAGGAATGCTAATTCAAGGAATAGTTCACTCAAAAATGAAAGGTCTGTCTCACCCTCAAGTTGTTCCAAACCTGTATGAGTTTCTTTCTGCTAGTGAAGAATGTTGGTAACCAAACAGTTGCCAGTAGCCATTGACTTCTATAGTATTTTTTAAAGCACACTATGGAAGTCAATGGCAACTGCTTGGTTGCCAACATTCAAAATATCTCCTTTTATGTTCAACAGAAGAAAGAAACTCACAGAGGTTTGGAACAACTTGAGGATAAGTAAATGACAGACTTCTTATTTTGGGGTATAAGTCTCCCTATAAGTTAATGTGAAAGTTAACAACATAAAACTATGGAAGGAAAAAGGTATGGCCTTACCATTTAAAGGAACAAGTCTTCTTATTGACTCTCCTTCCTAAAAGAGATGGAAGAACTTAACATCTTAAAGGCAATAGTGAGACACTATGAGAGATTATTCCAGGCCATTTTAACTAGGAGAAATTATGTTAAACATTCAGAGCAATTTGATGATGTGTTTGACCAAGATGACACTCAAAGATTGACAAACCAACAGAGCAAAGATTTATATATATGAGGCTTATAACACGTTTCAATCAATTACCAAACTTGCCCCATCTACAACTACCAATATCAATGAACTAGTATTAATACATAGTATTATGAACCATGTCAGATGCATTGTAGAGAAAAATCTTACTTTAGTATTGTATCCCTCATTCGGTTACATATTTAAAACAGAACAAATAACAGTTGGGCTCAGGAGATGCATTCAGAATGTAGTTTCTAAATCAAAATCAACATATGCCCCCGGTTTCACAGACGAGGCTCAAGCCTAATCCTAGACTAAAATGTAAGTCTGAGCAGATTCAACTGAAAGAAACTTGCATTGACTGATCTTAAAATATATCAGTGCCTTTGTTTTATCTCAAGATGCACACCAGTAATGTTTTTTTCTAAGTAAGTAAAAAAAAAAAATACTTAAATGTCCTAATTGAACTATGGCTTAATCCTGGCTTAGTCTAAACCCTGTCTGTGAAACCGGGCCATGGTGTTCATTATTTAATAAAGCAAAACCTATTTCCCAACCAGCACACAGATCACTTTTCACTAAAGTGCATCAGGAGTTACAAGAGACATTAGGTCCAAAAGAGCTGAACCAAGACAAAAATGATCACCAATATCTACAGGAGCTTGTCTCCTCAACAAGTGTGAAAATATTGCGACACATTTCATGTTAAGAAAGTCTGAAAGTGAAAATACTTCAAAACTTTGAATGAAAGCAAGCTTTGTTATCTTGTCCCCACACATTACCCAAGGCAAAGTATTTAGGCTTAGGAGCAGAGAATGAAGCTTTTGAGATGGTTATGATAGTGGAAATGGTGTTAAGACAAAGAAAGCTGCAACTCTCACCAAAGTGTGAGGCTGCAGGGCAGTGGCAGAGCTTGGAGGCTGGTTAGTGTGGCGGAACTGGAGATCACTAGGCACAGCAGACATAACCAGGCTAATTTGTGAAGAGTTGGCGGTGTTGGGGAGGCTGTCCCCTAGTCCCCTGTCTTCCTCAGTCTCCGCTGAAACAGGAATGTTGGTACCCACCGCATAGTTTTGCTCAAGGAACGGCTGGAGCTGAGAGGAGTCATCCATCTTAGAGTTGTGGGCATTCTGGCTCTCCTCTTTCACCTCCTCATTGTCACCCTGCAGGTCAAGAAAGATGTCGTCTGGTCGGTCACGTTCACGGTGTAGTTACATCCAAATGTAAAGGAGTTCCTGTGATTTTTTTTTTAAAGCTGAGAAATGTACTCGCTACATTTTGTTGACCTACCATACAGATCCTAACCTTTTCCCTTGAACTTCTTGATGTTACTGTAATTGAAGAAGATGTGTGATAAGCCATAAAGAAACAACTGAAATAAGAAAAAATATTGAAAGAGCTGAGGAAAGATTTCAAGATGTGTCTACCTGCTTTTTTACTCAGTCTTGACTTTGTCCAGTACACGATACACACAATGAATGCAAGCATTGCAATGAATGCCACAACAACAATGAAAGTCACTGTAGGAAAAATAAGATGTAATCACTATGTGAAACACACTATGGAAACAATGTCTTTATACACAACTCAAAAGAAAGTGTTGGGGGATTAAGGTCTCAGTGAGCAATTATAATATCCTTTACTTGTGCAAATACTACATTTGATCAGCTGTAATCATCTAGTACAGTATGTACAGTAAAAAGTTAATTTAATTGGGCTATGGGTTAAGAAGGGTTTTCTACTACCTGAGTTAGAGCTGCCCAAAGAGCTTCTCTTTTTACAAACGGTGTTGGAAATGTCTGTACAGCTTTTTACAGCCTCTTCATCCTCTCTGCATCTGGTTGTAACAAAAGAAATGAACTTGAGTTCACCCAAAAATGTAAAACTGGTCATCAACTACTCACCCTCATGTTGTTCCAAACCTTTTACTCATCTTTGAAACACAAAGAAAGATATTTTTAATGAAACCTGAGAAATGTCTGTCCTTCCATTAAAGTCTTTGACTTTCTAAGACATCATAAAAGAAATCCATGTGAATCAGGCTGTTTAATTCAATTGAATTCTGAAGAGACATGTTTGCTTTATTTGATGAACAGATTTAACCTTTATTCACACTAAAACATTGATAAACACACATACATAAGTAGTGCGCATCAAATATGGCGGAAACTCAAATACGAACCAGTGAGGTTTCTTGCACATTTTCATTTTTTTGGTGAACTCTCCCTTTAACGTTCATGGACAACTAGTGATCCAGCTTGATTAACATGACACTTTTTTTTACCAAAACCTAAGTGTTAATGAAATGGTACATTTAGAACATACCTACTGCATTTCTTGCACACCTCACATGCTTGGTCAGGTAAACAAAATGAACCCTGTTTGCACTTGCACTGTGTGTTCTGGGTATTTGTGCATTTCTCTGTGGTTTCCTGATCTGCAGAAGTAATGAAGGTGCACAAACAGCATGCAATTTAGAATTAAATATGCCTAATGGAAGTCAAACATTGTGTGAACACAATATTGATTTGGCTTGCATAACCTTAGAGGTTGTCTGTTATAAGAATTTATGCAAAACTATGGGACAAACGATGGGACTTGACAGTATGGGGACAATATTGACTGTTCCAAATAACAGAATTACCTATACGGCACTTGGTGCATGATAAACACTTTCGCAGTCCATTGTCGTGCTCAGTGTATCTGTCAAACTCGCACGGCTCACACACTCCTTTTTCTGAAGGAGTAAGACAGGCCTTTTTCACATATGTTCCTGCAAAAGACGAGACGGTGGAATGTGAGTGCACGTACAAGAAAACATTGTCTAATCAGAATAAAAGGATTTCAAAAATTCTCATCCACCAGCAGGGCAGTTCAGGCAGCAGATGTTATCATGTTCATACTCCATGCCCTCTCTGCAGGAAACATCCCGGCTTGATCTGTTCTTGACGGATCCTTTAGCCCAGGCCAGATCCAAGTGACTTTTAGCAGCATGTATGGCATTTAGTAACAACAAAATCTACACACGGAAGAAACATACAAAAGATACATGCATGTACATGCAGACTGGCATTTTGGTTAATAATTATGATCTGGGATGAAGTTGTGTTGGATTTTATACTGACACCTATTGGTGTAAAACTTTAATGTACGTCTCCGGCATACGTTTGTTTATATTTGTTAGAAACTAAAGACTTGGTTCCTATGGGTCTATAGTTGAAGGTTTTGCTTTTGTTTTATGAAGACATTTTCATATACCATCTGTATAAAGACGTTTTGGAAATTATCCTCAGTATTTAAGTAAATTCAGACTATGAACTGTCCTATTATTTCTAGGTAAATGATATTTTATTGCCATTTTATGTCAAAACACTGTATATATAATTGTCCAAATCTTATTTTTATAATTTGATTATATACATTTATATAATTTTGTTAAATAAAAACAATGTCATTCTATGTTAAAACAGTTTAAGTGTATGAGGAGCTGCATCTGGAGAGAGATCAAGTTTCTCTAAATCTTGTTCCAGAGTTACTGGTCTTAATGTAATTTATATTTTAAATCATTTTCTAATGGTTTAAAAGTTTAAGGGGTTTTTTTATCGACAAGGATCTGTAGTGCCAGGCCGTTTATCGCCATCGACTAGTCCAAACACGCCTCAATTTAACGCGTCGTGAAACAAACTAAACATTTAAACTTTCTCTATACCGACACACTGTATAAAACAAATGAAATAAATGTTATATTCACTTACCAAGAAACGTATGTATCTCATAGTAGTCAAATCATTGTGTCACTTCCTCAGGATAAACTGAAAGAAGCTCACGTCCCATCCCACTGATAGCGCACCTCTGAGGATTTAGCTGTTTAAAACTTCCGGTCTTATATTATGGAATTGAGCGCTTCTTGAAACCAGAACAATCCGCAAGCGAAGTTACGAATCCTACTATGGTCGAGGCCTAATTTTTTTTTTTTTTTTTTTTTTTTTTTTATTGCAGAGAACGGAAACATACAAAGAATAAACATACATCACATAATATCAACCACAAAAATAAAATGGAAACAAATCACAAAAAGAATAACATAAAATAAGGATAAGAGGGCCATCATCTAAACATGATTACATGAAGAGATCAAAGGCAGAGCAAATCCTAACAGTCCTTATAGCTTTCTTATTAGTAGATACTGAAATTACATTCAAATAATTTTCCATTTCTTTTAGGAAGACAGAGACATATCACGATTTAAGTGTAATGACCTTCCTTTGATTAATTCATCCAAACTTTGACAAATTCCGTGACATTCCGCGTTATACAGTAAATTCCGTTGACTGGATTCCGCGATTCCATCCGTGTGTTCCACATCGCAGATCATAGGGCCATAGGCGTACCTTTTTTTTATTGCAGAGAACGGAAACATACAAAGAATAAACATACATCACATAATATCAACCACAAAAATAAAATGGAAACAAATCACAAAAAGAATAACATAAAATAAGGATAAGAGGGCCATCATCTAAACATGATTACATGAAGAGATCAAAGGCAGAGCAAATCCTAACAGTCCTTATAGCTTTCTTATTAGTAGATACTGAAATTACATTCAAATAATTTTCCATTTCTTTTAGGAAGACAGAGAAGACAGGTTTACAGTTGGAAAATTAGCATTTGTGAATGTGAAATTTGCTTAGGAAAAAAATAAATTTTTCGTTTGAGGTATTTTCGTTTGAGTCATAATACCCAAATATAATGTTTTTCATATGTACTGAGAAACCTGGCAAAATCTTACACTTGACAAACACACCAACATCATCCCAAAACTTCTGAGTGTAGTGACATGTGGTCTAATTTATGAGTATTAATCAGTTCCTGGTGACGTTGTTTCACAATGTAAGTTTCTTAGCGTCCAGTCACGTGACCTAATTAATATTCATGAAGCTTCGCTGGCTTCATGAATATTAATTAGCAAAACAAACTGTTGGCACATGAATCGCCTACAAGCTGCACTTTGTGTGGAATAGCTACTTACAATGTTTCAGTATTTTCTTTTTTTTATTTCTTATTCGGGCCATATCATCTTTCTCCGTGTAAACTTTGGTGTCAGTCAAATAACCCATTGTGAGTGAATCTCCAACAAGCACGCATCTGAGTTTAGGATGTCTCACTCTCGCTTGTAACACATTATTATCAATTTCCGAGATGCATGGGCATTTCTGTCAGTTTGGCGCTATCTCGCAGACAGTTGACTGTGACAGTGCGATACTATGACTGCTGAGTGACACATTGTAAAACATTACTCCAGTAATGCGCGCGGAAGAAGGTGGGACCCCTGTTTGTTTATTCATTTACCAAGTCTAAGGGGAATTTCATACTGCTGCTACAGAACGCAGACAAAGTACAACTCCTTGACCTCCAGCAAATACGCTCCACCACGTGATCCATTCATTCGCTATATTAGATTACACTGATTTTCAACAGAGTTTTAATTGTTTGTTTTCTAGATAAACTATTTGCATGGTCTGTTGTAAGGCATTACTGTGGCTTATTGAAAGCATCTTTCTATCGTTCTTTGCTTTCAATAAATCTAGTCACTACATTGTTTTGTTGCTTCCTGGCAGCTAGTTTAATTTCCCCCATCCTTTTTCAGCTAGAGAAGCCAGACAGCCAATTATGTATACATTTACTGACAAAAAGCACTTTTCTATAATGTAATTGCCTGACAAGGCTGTAACTATACAGCGTATTACAATGCCTGTTTGTATAATCTCTGAATTTGGATTTATTAAGATGTATTTTTGATTCAGATTTCTGAATGTTGCTCTAAAAATTGATTATGCATTAATAACATACCATGCCATGGTTATGATGAGGGCTGAATCTTTAGTCACTCATGTGTCCTTTGATAAGAAAGTTGTGAAGGAGGAGGGGCTGTTTGAGATAAGACCAACTGTGGACTTTGCATCAGCCATTTATGATCCTTAAATTACTGCACGTCTGAAACTTTCAAGCAGTACTGAAATTAATGTTTTTTATCATTAAATGTGTATTAAATGATCAGCTACAGTTTTGTGAGAAGAGTCGGCTGATTTTTTTCTCACACGTAGAAGTGCATAATCACATTGTTTTTGTTAGGATACATCAGGATATTAGTTTAATTGGTAAGAACTACATTTGGAACAAAGCAAAGCAAAAAATAAAATAAATACATTGCAGACATTCTATGCCATTTTTGTAAGGCACAGAAAAAGTCAGGCATGCAGTGTATAACTGTCCCATAGGAGTGCCAGTCTGACACTAAATGAAAATAAA